TTTATTTCAGCCATATGTCCCTTTTAAATTTCTTAGTGTGTTGAATTTTCTCTCCTAAAAAGCTCTCTCTTTATGCAGCACCTTTTCTCCTATTTATAAGGGGATAGTTTCCTTATCCTCTAAGGACAAGAAGAGGGGTGGCAAATAAGTCCTAATTGAACTCATAGTTGTTGTTTCCTAATCCTTAAAGAATTAGAGGTTATTTTACATGTGGGCTTTTAATCTTTATCTTTAAAATATTAATCCTTATCCAATAAGGTTGATGTTTATCCTCTCACCAAAATATTTACCGAGTGTAGGAAAATTATCCTAAGTGTATCAAATATTTTAGCGCCCTTCTAGCAATTGTTCTAGGCACACATGATAATTTTCATATACGTTTAATATTTATTAATTTATTATTATTAAATTCAGGATATTACGAGTCTCCCATGAGGAAAGAGGCAAAACTTACTCTTATGTAATTGCCTTTGATAAGCATCAAGTAAAGCATCCCTTTTGGCCTTTATTAACAATGTAGATGCCAAATCTTGGAACATCTCTCCAAAAGATTCAAAGATTCTTTCTTACATATGAGTTAGGAGAACTAGCCTAGTTTGGTTCTATATTATTTTCTATCGAAACTTAGCCAAAGCAACATTTTCTAGGGAATATGCAAGGGAAAAAAATACATGAAATGGAGAATGTGATTACCAAGTTCACAAGAAAAAGGTTGCCTAAAAGGTATGTGAAACTTGGGCAACTACAATGGAAAATTTTACTATTATCTAGCTAGACCAAAAGTATTCATAAAAGTTGTATTTGGTAATTGTTTCTATACTTGAGAGGTTGTATCTTTTTGAAGATTGCGGGAAAGGGTGAGACTCTACAGTTAGAGAAAGAGAGAGCTCTAGTATCTTTGGAAGGGCAATATCCTTATGTGGAATATAGGTAGAATCATAACTTTGTGAACAAAAAAGTCAAATTGCAATCTTCAAGAGAAAAGCAACTTTTTCGGTAACCACGATGCTAATGTTATGGCAACTAACAAACAAGTGATCAGCACCTAAAGTCCTATTCTAGTAAGGGTATCTTAAAATTAAGCCATTGACATAATTCTCGATAATGTTGGTATACATTAAAAATATCGATCCAAATTATGTATTTGAAGAAGTGAATATATTTACTCTATATCTTATCGAGAAGGTAAGCAAAATATATGTAAAGTATCAAGGTCATAATCCTATAATACGAGGTCAATGATTCTTATGATCTAGTCGATTCCTATAATCTGGCTAGTGTACATATATAAACAATCTAATTAAAATAGTGTCTTGGATGTACATAATTTAATTAAAAAAATATATATTAAAAAAAATATTCCTAAAATAGTTTCTTTTACTTTCCTTCAAGTTGGAGCTTGAAGATTCAAAATACCCGACTTATCTAACGAGTATGAGAAATCGATCCCTTCTAAGGGCCTTGGTGAAAATGTCGACCAATTGAAACCGAGACAAAATTAATCAAGGAAACCAAAGCTTAGGCTAAATGTGTTATCGAATAAAATGATAGTCGGTCTCAATATACTTAGTATGCTTGTGAAAACCTGGATTGACGGTTATATAAAACACTATTTGATTGTCATATAATAATAAAACGAGGGCATAGTAAGGAACACCTAGATCGAAAAGAGACGATAAAGCCAAACAATTTCCCTAGCGAGTGCTTTCTATGGCCCTATATTCATCTACACCCATAAAGCAAGAAACAATAGACTACTTTTTTAGACTCGCTAGGAAATAAAAAAAGTTATAAGAAAGATGATATAGCTAGTGGTAGATCAACGAGTAGTTATACAATTATCTCAATTAGCATCATAGTGGTAGATCAACGAGTAGCTATACAATTAGCTCAATTAGCATCATAATAACCCTCGCAAGGACAATAAAATATTTAAGGAAATTAAAATACCTTGTATTAGAGCACCTTTAAGATAGTGCAAAACTCAAATGGTACCATCAAAATGAGGTTGTCTTGGTTAGTTCATGAATTAACTCAAAATATGAATTACATGATCATTGTCTGGATGTGTGATGGTGTGATAGAGTAAACAAACAATAAGATGATGGTACTAGCTAGAATTATCATAAAGAGGATTGAAATTAAGATCAATTTTATGCTATTGATCCATAGGTAAAGAGAATGGCCTACAACCAAGTACGACAAAACTCGATTAATATGTCAAAAACATGCTCGTGTTGACTCAAAGAAATTCCAACAAGAGATTGTGCAATTTCAAGCCCCAAAAAATATTTGAGTTTACCAAGATCTTTAATATGAAATGTAGCATTTAAATATTGTTTGAGCTAAGAGATTTTAGTGGTATCGATCCCGATGATGATGATTTCATAAACATAAATAAGAATCATAACAAAAAACCTTATTGAAAAGAAGTAAACAAAAAAGTGATCAGAAGATGATTGGAGAAACCCCATTACATGTAATGACTAAGTAAATTTTTGATACTAGTTGGAAGAAACATGACAAAGCCCATTGAGAGACTTCTAAAGGCAAAAAACAAGTCGCTCCCCTTTTTTAACAAAACCACGAGGAATCTTCATGTAGTCTTCTTTTACGGGATCACCATGCAAGAAGGCATTATTGACATCTAACTAGTAAAGTTTTCAATTGAAAACTAAGGCAATAGCAAGAAGACAACGAGATCGTGACTAGTTTTACAACCGAGGCAAATGTATCCCGAAATTAATACCTTTAATCCGAGTATATCCCTTTTCTACAAGACAAGCTTTTGATCTTTCTATAGAGCCATATGGGTGAAATTTAACTTTGTATACCCATTTAGAATTAATGGCATGTTTTCTAAGTGGTAAAGGCATAAGAGTCCAAGTGTGACTGGCTTCCAAAGTAGAAATCTCTTTAGCCATGACATTTCGCCATTGAACATGTTGAATTGCTCGATCAAAGAATGTAGGCTCATCGATGAAGGAGATGGTCGCTAAAAAGGTATTGTGAGTTCTAGAAATTTTAGAATAAGAAATATTATAAGATAAAGGATGTGCTATGGATTTGGATGAATGGAGTATAGAGTGCGATGTCAAGGGAGGTAGTAAGGAAGGAGGGAAAAAGTAATAAAAAATGAAGAGATGCTTGGATAATTGTTTGATCTAAGAAGGTCACATGTTGAAGAATTAGATTGATCGGGAGGTTGAGTAGTAGGAGATAATGCAATAAAAATCTATTAGAAAGATGAAAGGGTGAGTCGAGTTGATGGAAGAGTCCCAAAAGAAGGAAGCCTAATTTTAACATCGCTAGATCGATAGGAATCGAAAGCTCGAGTGAGTTGCGGCTGTGAAAACGGCCTAATGCATGTGAAAGAAGAATATGAGGATTCGGGGCTGGACAAAGACCGATGCAGCGAGTATGTATAGAAGGAGTGTCTATTAGGTGAGAATTAGCTACGGCATGGGCTAGGTCGGCAACATACATAGGCTCGTATGTAAACAAAAGATGGAATGTTCGAATCAATAAATAGGATTGAGTCGACTTGTTGATTTTAATCCGAGTATTGTATGTAGTGAGGTAGCAATGGAAGATTCGATGATCGCAAATGGGAAAATCTCTTAAAAAAGTTGAACATCTTGAGAAGAATAAATTTTGTGACTTTCCAAATCATAAATCTAATAGCCTTTTTTCCCATATGGATAAACCATGAAAATATCCAATTTGCTATGGGAGTTCAATTTGTCATAAAGCTTACTCGAATATGTCTATAACAAATACATCTAAAACTCTATAGATGATCATAACTAGATTGTGTGCCAAATATGACTTCATAAGGAGTTTTATTTTGTAAGACTGAAATTGGCTTACAATTGATTAAATAAGATGCGATCAAAATGCATTTACTCGTAAAAACTTATCGAAAGGTTGGCTAGAAAGTGTAAAGCTCTAGCCACCTCTAAGAGATGCATATGCTTTCATTTAACCATGCTATTTTGCCGAGGTATATATGTGCAACTCATATGTTTGTCCATGTGATGCTCAAAATAGTGATTCATTAAATGCGAGTGATTAAATTTCGTCTCATTGTCGATATGAAAAATCTTGATAGTGGCATTAAACTACATGCGAAACAAATTAAAAAGTGAAAGAGATAGCTCGAGTCTTTGATTTGTGTTTCACAAGGAAAACCCATGTGGCACTAGTCGTGATCATCGGTTATGATAAGAAAATAATGTGCACCGGAATGTGAAGGAGTGCCACACGGACCCTAAATGTCACAATGTACCAAATAAAAAATATGCTCGGATTTATTTGTGTGAGTTAGAAAAAGTAGTCTAGTTTGTTTAGCCATATAACAAGCATAATAATAATAATAATAATAAAAAAAAAAAAAAAAATAAAAATTATTGGTCGAGTCAATTACTACCGATAAATTTAGAACTAGCAAAACACGATTCAGCAATATATGTTTTAGATGACAATGCCAAAAATTTGCTTCATTGTATCCCTTTTCCATGAGCACCTTCCCTACCTCTATTGATTCCAAATAATAGAGATCATTTTGCACTCTATTCACTCTAATCGGCTTTCTCAAGTGTAAATGTTGTATCACATAAAAATCGGATCAAAAAATTAGAACAAAGTTGAGATACCGAGTTATTTTAATTTACTAACGAAAAGTAAATTAAAACAAACTTTAGGCTCCTTGAAAACTTGCTCAAGATTTAAATTAGGACCAATTTTTATTCAAGCTAAAGCTTTAACTAGGATGCAATCTCTATTAGAACTTGGAACCCTATTAGAACTTGGAACTGGAAGAATGATTGGATTTATGTTAAAATCAATCATAGAATCATTGTTACATGCTATGTGATTTGTTGCCCTGTGTCAATTATTTATGATTCGCACTTTCCAAAAATATTTTGGTGGGTCATATTGGTAGATGGACAATCTAAGCAACCTAGCAGAGAGCCTAAAACTTGAATTAATTGCTGGACCTGGGCTGCTGTTAATTGTGGCAGCTGAGCACTCAAATGGGATTGGGCCAAACCTGATTGAAGGCCCAAATTTTAGAGTCATTGCTGGACTTGGGTTGCTGTTAATTGTGGTAGCTAACCAGTCAAATGGGATTAGGCCGATATAAGAGTTTGGGCTGGACTTGTGTCCATTGCTGGCATTGATTGAAGACTAAAATTATTTTTTACTACTATTAGTAGAATGATAAAAGTCAGAAATGTAGTCTGTCGTAGTTGCTATTGGTCACCTCTTGTTCGTGGTTTTCTCCAACCAGGTGGGTAGCTATAAAGAGCACAACAGGTATCATGGGAGTGATCGCTCCTGTTACAATGGCTATAATGAAGGCTGCCACTCTGATGCTTCCCTTTCTACTTATTGCGTCATTCATTTCTTAGCCCATATATCGACTATGATTGGGCTAGTAAAGTTGTGACCTCAAGAGAGGGATGACAAAATGCAACAATACTTTTATGTTTCTTATTTTGAGCAGCCATCGAATAGGCTTTCACAACTCGTGGCAAAGGCTCAAGCCTTAGTATTTAGGATCAAATGGATATGGAGTCATCATCTAGTCTCATTAAAAAATCAAACATCTTTTCTTCTTCACGCATAGCCTCCATCTTTCTTACAACTCCAGAGGTGTAAACAGGTTTGGGCTTGATATTTTATAATTCATTCCATACAGCTTTTAATTTTCCATGGTATATAGAGATGGGATTTTTCTTCTTGTAATAAAGCAATTGACCACTTCAAATCATATACTATGAGGACAATTCCCTGAGTAAATCACTCCTCAAAATCACCCTAATTTTTAGTGGCTATAGTGGTATGAGTTGCTTTTAATTGTAGCTCTTTAGAAATTGAGTTAATTAATGAGCCATGATTTAACCAACGCATTGCATTGAATCCAAGCTGGGAAATCCTTAGGGGTTTGGGTATTGATCCATCCACAAAATCCTGCTTTATTTTTGGATTGTAAAGTATTAAGAAAATTGCTTCTCCAAGTGAAATAATTATCTCCACTTTCACTGAGAGGTTGTGTAATGAAAAGCAAGCCTAGGTGATTTGAGGGAGCAAGTAGAATGAGGATTTGGTATCAATTATAATATTCTGCATATTTACAACTAACACAAAACCCTTCTCATTATTGCTTGTGGAACTAGGTGTCATGTGAAAGGAAAAGAAAGAAAAGGGAAACAAAAAAGAAAGATTATAAGGGATTATAAGAAAATATTCCTAAAATAGCTTCCTTCGAGTATCTTATATTGCATCCATTATAAGAAAAATCTAAAATAGAATCATCCAACAAACTTGTGGAAATATTGAGGCTCAAGAAATTATAGAAATATAAAATTTTTAAAGCACATACCACTGCCTCTCCTTTTTGACTTGAAATAGGGATACAAAAGAGATGAGCCTTATGAGGATCATCGATCAAGAACCGAATCGTTTACGAGATTCATGAAGAAGTAATGTTCACTTGCATACTTGCTCTTGAGCTTGTCCTTTGGATGATAACATGTTGTTGGGTTTCCACCTGGATACACAAATACCTTAAAGTCCCTTTCCATTGTCACATAATTCAGCAAGAAAAATATTTCGAGTGGTAGATATCACTAATATAATCTTCAATCAAATAGTCCTCGAAAACTAAGATTTCTCCTTCATAATTGCATTGTCCTTCAAAAACTATTGTAAAAAACAAAAAAATAAATTAGTAATGACAAACAAAATAAATTGAAAAAAATTGAGACAAATATTTATGTAGTTTGATCAAAGTGATCTGCATCCATAAGCGAGACGAGAATTTTTCACTAGATGATAAAAGAGAGAATACAAGAGCACCTTATATAGTGGCTCAAAATTAAATATATACTATTTTTCTTATTACAAAAAGCAAGCAACAAGAGGTTTAAATACTTCAATCATAAAAGAAACCCTAATAGGCTAAAAAGATATGTCGGATTGGGCTATAACCAAACAGATTAATAAACCATAAAATTCAAGACATATTTAACAATCTCCACCCTAGCTTCAATTCCTTAAATCTTTAAGAAGTTGAATAATTTCTCAAGACACACCTCTAAGCTTACATAAGTTAACTTGATGTAAGAAATAAGAAATGTGAAAAGAGAAACTATCAACTTCAAAAAACAAAATTAGTGAGCTTATCTCTTGCCACCAATGCTGAAACACAGAGCCACCAATCAATTTTGAATGCCACCCAAATCCAAGGAATGCTTGAAATTTGGCTAAAAAAGGTTTTGTCAATATATCAGCTCGAATTGCCTTTAGTATTAATCTTTTTTTTTTCACCATAATATTCCTTTCAAAGACTCGTCTCACTAGTAAAATGATACTTGGCATCAATGTGCTTGGTCCTCTTATTAAGTGTTTGATTTTTGGTCAAGTTTATTACACTTTGGTTGTCACAAAAGACAAGTAAATTTGCTTATTACCGAAGCCTAAGCTCCTCTATAAGGTTTCTCAACTAAATAGCCTCTTTCACTACTTTGGCTATTGCCATATACTCTTTCTAGATTGTAGACAAAGTAACTATCAATTGTAATGTTGATTTCTAACTTATAGCAAAACTAGAGAGTGAAAAGATGTATCTTATCAAAGATCTCCTTTTATTAAGATCCCCTGTATAATTAGAATCCATAAAACCTATAATTGAGGTTCCTAAAGCATTGCCTCTATCAAAACTAAACCTAAGCCTATTGTACCTTTTAGATAATTGAGAATTCATTTCACAGCATGTCAATGTAACTTTCCTAGAAGAGGCATATATTTGCTAACAACACTGATCGTGTGGGTAATGTCCGGATAGGTACGGATCATAGCATACATAATACTACCAACTCGTATTGAAATATAGGACTTAAGACATTTCTTTTTCTTCGAGCTTCACTCTCAAGTGAATGTAAAGTTGAAAGCCTAAAGTGAGAAGCCAAAAGAGTACTAATAGGTTTGGCCTTTTGCATAACAAAATGCTCAAGTACTTTCTCAATATATTCCTTTTACAAAAGATATAATTTTCCATCCTTTTTGTCTCTTCGAATCTCTATTCCTAAGATTTTTTTTGATGCTTCAAGATCTTTCATCTCAAACTCATCACTAACTTGTTTCTTCAAAACATGAATTTTTGACATGGTCATGTTATCTACATATTAATAAAAGATACACAAAAGAACCATCTTTTAAGTACCTATAGTACACATAATTTTCCTAAGTAGATCTCAAATACCAATACTTAAGAATAAAACTGTTAAACTTCCCGTACCACTACCTTAGAGATTATTTCAAGCCATATAAAGATTTATTCAATATACAATCATAGTCCTGTTTTCCTTCCATAGAATATCCTTTTAGTTAGTGTAGATAGTCCCCTTAAGCTCAACATCTAGAAAAGTTTTTTTCGCACCAAGTTGCTTAAGCTCCAAATCAAATTAAGCAACCATGGCAAGCAATACATGACTAGTAGTAAGTTTCATAATTGGATAAAATACTCTATTATAGTCGATTCCCTCCTTTTGATTATAAATTTTAGCCACCAAACATGCCTTGAATCTAGCATCTTTAACACTTGATATTCCTTTCTTTTTCTTAAAGACCTTTTTACTTCCAACAACCCCGTTAGCTTTAGGTAATTTCACCAAATTCCAAGTCTAATTTTTATTAAGTGACTCAAGTTTTTCTATCATCACAATGGCCCATTTATCATATTTATCACAAGTGACAACCTCAATATAGGTAGAAGGCTCTTGAATACTCATCTTTTTAGCTTCTATGAGGGCATATGCCACTAATTCAGGATAACCATAATTTTTTAGGAGGTCTAATATGTATCCTATCTCTACCTATAGCTATTGACTATGGCCGATGAAATTATGTGGCATCCTCATCCATATTTGAATCAAGTTGCTCATTTGTAACCATAAGAGAAACATTTGGAGATGACTTCGAGAAGTTTTTCTATTAAGCTTCACTCGAAACTCTATCTTATCCATGACTTGCTCATCCTTTCCTCTAGACTCACAAGAAACCTTTCTTTTATCAAGCATAAAATTTTCATTAAAAGTAATATCTCTACTAATAATGAATTCGGATGAGCTAGATTCAAGGCACTATGAGTGATAACCTTTCATTTCATCGAGCATAACTAACAAATATATATTTCTTTGCTCGAGGTTTAGACTTACCATCTTTAAAATGATAATAAATAGGAATTCAAGTACTTTTAAAGTCGAATCATCATTAGGTTTAAATGATCATATCTCATTTGGAGTCTTATAATCAATGTAAATAGAGGAAGAACTATTCATAAGATAATAAGTCGTGTTAACTCCTTTAGTCTAAAAGTCCTTTTCCAATCCAGAATTTGAGAGCATACATCTAACTCTCTCTACTAAAGTCTTATTCATACGTTCTACCACCCCTATTTTACTAAGGAGAGTGCTCGACTATTCGAAGCTGAATGATCCTTAAGTTTGTACAGAACTCATTAAAATTACCATTATAAAATTCTAGGTCATTAATTGTTTGAAGATATTTAATCTTCTTTCTTATTTGGTTCTCAACTATAGCTTTCTATTTTTTAAAATATTCAAAAACATCACTTTTGTTCTTGAGAAAATAAACCTAGACCTTTTAGGAGTAATCATCAATAAAAAAAAATAAAGTGCACCACCTTTAGATGGAACCTAAACTGGTCTCCATAATCAAGTGTTTCCTTTGTCAAAAGAGTTCCAATTGAGAACATCACTTTGGTTTGCTTTCTAAAAACACAATGCTCATAAAATTCGAGTAATGTCATATGATCACCACGGAGCGAATCACGTTTAATTAGAATAGCCATCCATCTCTCGTTCATATGGCCCAAACACTTATGCCGATTTGAGTGATGTCTCTATTAGAATAAGAAGAAGACCCACTTGTAGAATGTATCACCGTGCTACCTTGTAGAACATAAAGATCATTGACCTAGCTACATTTCATCACAACCAACAAACACTTAGAAACCTTAAGAGTTTCATCCTTACCGGTGTATATATATCCAATGGAATCAAGACTACTTAAAGAAAAAAAGGTTTTTCTTCAAGTTTGGCATATGTCTCACATTTTTCAAAGTACTCACTATCATATCATGAC